CTGATTTCCCCTTCTTGCCACACCCGCTGTCCCCCATGATTTCTGCATACATCGGTCCTATTTTCTCTTTCATTCTGCGTTCATCAGTCATCTCTCATTAAATTGTTCTGTACCTCAAATTCAACAAAAATATCAAATAAGCTCCATGTAAACACACATGAATGTCTACATCATTTGAGCATCATATTCAAAATGATCAACTTATGTGAACTGCATGTTTTATTCACACTTTATTCTGGCTTTCATTGTAATAGCGAACTGTGGAGCAAATGATGAACATGGATGAAACATGAAGAATAATATCACTTTTAGTTGGATGGGGCAGCATAGGAGTGAAGTGTGTGAACTTATGAATGATTTCTGGAGATAATATGCTGTACAGACTGCATACTCTTCGAGTCCCCAGACACATGATTTTCATTTCTACCTAAGATATTCACCTGCCATGATGGTTTACTGAAGAAGTCACATTTTTTTGTCACCACCATCCTCCTGTGTCCATAACAGGATGAATGCAGGGCATGTAAAGAATGTGCAAAAGCATAGACAGCATTGTAGATACTGTAGCTGGGACCAGTCATACTCATATCAAAGATATCTGCGGGAAGGCTCTCCAGCTTCTCCTCCCCAGAACAATTCTTATCAAACTCCTTCCCCAGGAGTGAATCTGAGAAATGACAGAGGAATGCCTGTTCCCAGAAATTCCTGATGAAGCCATCACCTTCAGTCCAATGAGGTTTTCTGCTCTGAAGAAATTGCTGAAATCCTGGTGGTTGATTCGTGTGAACGCTGAAGGATATAGCACCATGAAGGATCTGTTTGTCCCAATTTCTTTGATAATAATAGGACACAAAATCCATCTGAATGGTCGTAACATATACTTTCCCTTTAAGCTTTTTTGCTGAGAAAACTGTCCCTGAGAATTGTATAGACCACCTCATATATGAAATAGATTCACTGTCTCCATAAAGGATAACAGCATTGGCTTTACTCTCCATTACAACATCAAATTTTTCCAATCCATTCTGCATCATGGTAAAATAATAATTGATGGTTGTGACCTGTAGGAATTTTGCTATGAAGGCCAAACAGATGCCATTTTGAAAAAACAGAGGAAGCAGGGCTTGCTGAAATCTTTCTCCACGTTCATCATCCACAACAATGAGCCCAGTCCATGTCCACCTGAAATGCAGAATTAACTGCAGGATCCCCTTGTACTGCTGGGCTTCATTTGGGACCATCCGATAAATGGAAAGTCCTGAGAATGCTTCATTGGTTAATGATGTAGAACCATAGGCGAGCTAAAGGGAGTCAACATTGGGAAGGTGATGTAAAGAGTGAGAATTAAAAGTTTACATAACCACTTAGTCTTTCCTGCTTTGTTTTAATGGAACCTTTACAATCCTATAAATGCAACTGATTTTGTGCCACTTATCCACGGTTGGATACACTATTCTGACCTTCCCCTTGTTCAGCAGTTAAAGTTAACTGTTAAGGTTTTCTAGAAATTATTCCAGTGTTTGTTATTTAATTTTAAAATATTTTGTTGAAGGTTGATGTTGTAGAATATATTCAAAAAGGGAAATAAAAAGTTGTGTTTTTTTTGTTTTTTTTTAAACCGATTTGTGGAGTGAATCCATGATCTTCAAATAAGTCCACACTTTTCAGTTAGGTTGCTGGTCAAAGTAAATAAATCTATGCTTCTCTTTTTTTTTGGTCATTTATGGAGAATAAATGAAAATGGTTTCATTTGGAGGGAATTTGAAAAGCATGACGAAGAACTGAATGGATACATCTGATGACATGAGATCGAGGATATGCTGCAATGAAGGTTATTTGAATGTAGCTGCAGATTGAAATAGGAGTCCAGTGGCACCTTAAAAACAATCACAGCTACACATCTAGATGAATACAAGTGATCTTTTTCAAGCGGGAAGACCCTGTTTCTGCTTTAAGCCACAGGTGTGTGTTTCACACCAATTATACATTCTTTAAAGATTTTTGGATGTTTCACCCTATTAGTTATTTCTATGCTCAGGACATGATTTTGTATGGAGGGGCATTCAATCACATAATCATACAAAATGTGATATGCCAGTTAGCTCTTTCAGGCATAGAATATACCACCATACTTGGATTCATCATTCACCCATCTGTAAATCAGACTGACAATGAATCAAAAATAACTCTATTGCATAGTAATAGCTGTTGCATGTGTAAAGGTAAAGGTGAAAGGTTTACCTTGCTCAAACGTCAGTTGAATACGACTCTAGGGGGTGGTGCTCATCTCAGTCTCCAAGCCAGAGCCAGCATTGTCTGAAGATGTTTCCATGGCCATGTGGTTAGCATGACTAAATGCCAAGGTGCACAGAACGCTGTTACCTTCCCACCAAAGTGGTACCTATTTATCTACTTGCAATTTCATGCTTTTGAACTTCTAGGTTCTTTACCAGCATGTTGCCAAAGGTGCCCATGCCTGGAGAAGGTATACCTGATGATAGTCAGATAGGCTTGGGAATATCCATACTGGACTATTGTAACATGGTATACATGAAGCTGCATTTGTTTAGAATGTTAACAAGGGATTAATTTTACTTTAGTATTTTTAACTCAACTATTATTATTATTACAGTCACTGTAGGGGCATTACTACAATGAACCAGATCTAGATGGAGTCCAGAAGGATCTTCAAGATTCAAAAGATTTTTCTAAGTGGAAGGGGGAGGGGAAAGCCAGAGTCCGAAAAGACAGAGTTAAGCGAGGGACAAAAAGGACAGCTTGAAAGAAGCGAAATTTGATTGAATATGGTGTTTACTAGAAAGAAAGCGGTAGACTATTGGACTTTCAGAGACTATTTGTACTTTTCTCTTACTGTCAACAATAACGCAGTGAACAGAAAGAATGGCGGTGAAAATGAAACCTACAATTGGAATTGTCAGTATATCTTTTCCGGCAGCTAAACCGGAAACAACCATAGACTTTCCCTAAGGATTGTTGTAGATTTGCGCCATCTGCAGGACCAGAAGACCAACTTTAACATGGAGTTGTTGTGGTGCAAAAGGAACTTAAAGAAACCCTAGTGGAACTGGCTTTGTCCTCCAAGCAAAAAGGTTCCCAATGCAACAAGCACAAAGCGAGAGATGGCCCCGAGAAAGTGGGAAACTTATAATTGGAACTGCCAGCGTATTCTTCCCAGACCTTAAACTGGAAATAACCACAGACTCTTCCTAAAGGATTGTTGCAGATTTGTGTCATCTATTGGACCAGACAACCAACTTTAACGTGGAGTTGTTGCGGTGCAAAAGGAACGTAAAGAAACCCTAACAAGAACAGACTCTGTTCACCAAGTGAATAGGTTCCTGATGCAACAAGCACAAAGCGAGAGATGGTCCTGGAAAAGTGGAAAACGACAAAGAAGCAGTAGAAGAAGAAGAAGGGGAAAGTCCTGAAACCTACCAGAATAACATGGCAAAATCCTATGACTTTGAATTAGAATTAACTTAGACTTTGATAAGAAAATGAGAGGAAAGAAATAAGCAAAATAGATTGACCTTGTTGGTCTAATGTCTACCTTTTCTGTATAATGTTTATTTATTTATTTATTTATTTAATTCCATTTCTACCCCGCCCTCCCCGCATGCGGGCTCAGGGCGGCTTACAAGGCACAAGTGCTATAAAACCAAATACATTAAAAACAACATAAGTTAAACAGTTAAAGTGGAACTCATACCATAATTTGTTGTTTAACTTGATTTTCTTCTATTATTAGTAACTCTCACATTTTACCATTTGGAGAATTAGAGATGTTTTAACTATCTTAAATTACTGTAACAAAGATCCTTGGTACTCTATATTTTAGGTTGCTCCCTTTCCTTGACCCTGGCCCTGTTCATACGAGCCCATTTGGGCCGGGAGCGGGACGGAACGGGGGCGGAGCAAACCGGCGCGATCCCACCTCAACATCTGGGGAGCGTGCCGGATCCGTCCCGGATCCGTCCCTTCCAGCGTTGCTCCGCGCCAAAAAAGAACCACCTCCCGCATCCCCGGCTCCTGGCCGAACTGCGCATGTGTGAGCATGCGCAGTTCGCCAGGCTCCCCTTCCCACCGTCACTTTCTCCCCGGCATCTGATCGTGCCAGGGAGCGTTGCGACGCGGCTCGGGGGATCTGTGAGATCCCGCTGCGCCATTCCAACTTTGCTGCGGCTCACATTAGCCGCAGTACAAGCGTCTTATTCCCTGCCGTGTGGCAGGGACCCCTGTAGAGTTGTAGTTCTAGAAAAACAATAAAAATGTTTTTTAAAAAAAGATTCAAAAGATTTTTCAAGTGTAAAAGCCCCCATCAGCTTAAAGAAAAGATTCAGCTGCCTTGTATCAACTATAAAATATCCCAGTTTATTTGCAGTCTTGTTTTAATTTTTTTAAGCCGCAAACTATTTGGATGCATATTAACCTGTTCCTCAAAGACGGATTCCTCCAGGGCACTCTCTCATGTCCATCTGGCTGGCTATCACTGTCTGCCATGGATTCTGGAACTCCCTTCCCCATGCTTTCATTGTACTTAATGTCCTGTTACTATATTTCTACTTTGTCATGAAACACCTTGGCCAAACGTTTATGGAAAGGTAGCATACAACAACTCAAAAATAACTAAAATATAAAGCTTCATGATCTATTAATGCTTGCAGACCAGTTCATAAAAAATATAAAGTATGGACAGTGAAAATGAAGAATGTTTTGAATTTTCTCATGTGGATAAATATTTTTAAAAGTGGTACATCATGAAGGTATGGGTACATTTTTCTTTGATTGCTCTTCCAAGGAGGGATGAGATATGTTGTTTTATAACACTGACAACCCTTTCATTAGAAGTCCTATCATATAGTGAATACCCAGCCTACCTGTGGAATTTTGTAGATGGATAACACAGTTGCTATGCAGAGAGAAGTTTTAGCTTCAGCTCCTCCAACAACAGCTATCAGATTGTTCTGGAAGTCACACTTGTAGTTGGGAATAAATTTGTTCTTTGTAGAGAGAAGTTGTATCGTGGCACGATAGGTCTCTCGTTCATTCATGTAAGTGTCATGGATGTGGAAGCCCAAGGTGACATTGGGTAAGAGCTGGAGGTTTTCATTGATTTCCTTCACAGCAAATGCCATAGCCAAGACATGTTGGTAATGACTAGTCCGTACACTGCAACAGGAAATACAGAGCAACTAAGCAACATTCTTATAATATCATTGTGACTCAAGCTTAACTACTCATATCTGATGAGAAACATCAACTATGGTACCAATGGATTTCTTTGAGCTATAGGCTTAATTACTCATATCTGATGAGAAACATGGTACCAATGGATTTCTTTGAGCTATAGTCAGATTCCAGACCACTTTAATTTCCATCACTTTCTTACTCCAGATACTGTTTCTGTGTATTTTAGGTGATACTCTAATCTTGTAATATTCCACTAGAGAGCTAGTACTGTGATGCAATTAGGCTCTAATATCAACAGAAATGGAAAAATAATGTTTAAAATGTGTGGTTTCACAACCACCACCCTTGAAGTGCTAACTGGAAATACCAAGGAATTCTATTCAATCCCTTCAGCGGTCTAGGAGTGTGTAGATGGGTACAACTTAAATTTAATCACTGTACCCAACCTACTAAGATTACATGAGCATCTCTTCTGCTAAGCGATAAGTCTGTGATTACAAAACAACTTGTTCCATAGCTGAAGACTATTCAGTTAGTGCTTTCCATAGGGGTCAGAGTATATAATACAATCTCTTCCTTTTACAGAGAACCATGGAATGGAAATGGGGGGACAAATTAAGAGAAAAGGGTTTTTTTAAAAAAAACAACAACTTTACATTCCTATAATTCAATGCAATCTAAAGAGCCTGTCAGTTATAAACATGATATGCACAAATAATAGGTATGGGAGTGGGAGAACATCCTTACAATGGCATATCATATACCATATCTTTGAATGCTTTTTTGAAATCCATCTCATCTGACATAGCATAGATAAGAGAACTAATTCCCCCAATGATGAGATCTCCTTCTTGAAAATGTTTGTGAAGACTTGCGAAGGACTCACTGATGGTGCATTTAGCATCATGAACCTTGCACATGTTTGGGTATAACAGAACTACAACAAACACCAGAAGTGATACCATTTTGCAGTCAGTTCATCGCAGCAATGATTTGTGTCTCTTCACATGACGATTGGAGGAATTCCAGTTTGAAACTGTCTGACTTCCACAATCTCCTGAATACAATTTCACATATCATAGATATTATAACCCAGCCAGTCCTTAGCCTTACCACCAACTGTGAATGCTAACAGCTGCCTTTCTAGTATAATCCAGAGATGCTATTTTTGTCTAATGACCACTGAAATGCCTTTGGGATTCTTACGAGTAGTCACAAGAAAGTTGATAATTATAGAGGAGATAACCACACTTTAAACAACTTGTCTATAGAGCAGTTGGGAAAAAGAACATCTTTGTCAAATTTCAGCAAAACTTATTTTTCTCTCTGTAGTGGGACAGAGGGACACAGGTGGTCTTGCTGCTTGAGCAAGAAAAAAACATGGGGAGGGGGCAATTGTGCTGTCTGGACATACTTGGAATAGAAGTAGTTATCCCTTCTCAGCCTTTTGGCTGGAAAAGCATTCTCTATCTTAACTTTCCTCAGTGCCTCATGCTCCACTTCCTATACAAATTCAGTCCCTATTTTTTTTTTTTGTTGGCAAAACAGTACGAAACAAATCCCCAGAAATAAAGATTCTATTATCCTGTTCCTGCCACAGTGGTTAAAAACAGGGCTCTTTTTGTAGAAAAAGCCCAGCAGGAACTCATTAGCATAATAAGCCACACCCAACAGCATAAACTCATTAGCATATTAGGCCACACCCCTGACAGCAAGCTCATTAGCACATTAGGCCGCACCCCCATGTTATCAGAAGTGTGGTTATCCAGCCACACCCACCTTTTGCTTGTTATTCTGGTTACCTTGTTTGTTGTCAAAACCCAGGGCTTTTTTGTAGCAGGAACTCCTTTGCATGTTAGGCCACACACCCCTAATGTAGCCAATCCTAATGAGTTTCTGCTGTTGGGTGTGGCCTATTATGCTAATGAGTTACTGCTGGTCGTGGCCAACTTGGGAGCCAGCCAGAACTCCGTTCCTGTACGTTCCTGCCCAAAAATAGCCCTGGTTAAAAAATACCATGATAACAATGGATGTGAGCAGAACATCCAGGGTTTTATATTGATCACCTTATTAGGAAAACGTGAAGGCAGGAATAAAAGAGGAAGAGCCACCATGAGAGGGATTGACTCAGTGAAGGCAACCATACCTTCAGTATGCAACACTTGAGTGAGGGTGTTATGAATCAAAGCTGCTGATGGAATATGGCACCCCAGCAGCCAGGAACAATTGCTATTCTTGGTCTGCAATGGTGGGAGATCTGTCCAATGGTGTTGGTGCTGTGCCCACCTAATCTCAGATCTCTCACAATACAAGAACTCGTGGGCACTCCATGAAATTGCTGAGTGGTCATGTTGGAACAGATAACTTCCGAGGCCACTGTCAAGGTCACAAGTATTAATTAATAAAATGTGTTTGTTATATGCCATACATTTGCTTCCAATTCATACGGACCATATGAATTATTCACCTCCCAAAAGTCTGATTCATAACAACCTCACTCAGGTGTCACAAACTGAAGCTTCAGCTGCCTTCATTTATTTTTTATTTTTTATTTTATCTTTCGATTTCTTATACCGCCCTAACCCCCTTGGGGGTCTCTGGGCGGTTTACATAAGAGGTGCTAGTCACAATGCTTCCTAACTTGGGCCACATTTTTGATGGGCCTTGGCTGCGTCCTTCAGGCTTGGCCACGCCTGCAGTTGGCGTCACTGCTTGCTTTCCACCTCCGACAACGACAGCCGCCCTGGTGTTCTTGCTGCAGGCCACCAGGGATCGCTCCTCTGGCCCTGTTACTGCTGCTGCCGCTGCTGCATCGCCGTGCCATGCCGCCTCCACCACCAGCACTCAACTGCAGCTGGTCTTGCTGCTGCCGTCATTGCCACCATTGCCACCGTCGCCTCCGCCTCCTCCACACACCTCACCAGAGGAGGGTGCCCCCTACCCTTCTAAGGGTAGGTACCCATTTATCTACTCGCATTTAATTACTTGCTTTCAAGCCACTGGGTGGGCGGGAGCTGAGACTAGGGTCGGGTGCTTACCCCGACCGCGGTGGTTCTGGAACAGCCATAGTGGCTGCTCGAGTGTTGTTAAGGCCGGCGTTTTACCGCCTGCGCCACCACTCCCATTGAGTCAATCCCTGTCATGTTGGCTCTTCCTCTTTTATTCCTGCCTTCAACTTTTCCTAACAAGATAATCAATATAAAATCCCAGACAAATGCTGCATGCATCCATAGTTATCATGCAATTGGTGCTGTGTATTTTTAACTACCGTGGCAGGAACAGAACAATAGAATCCTTCTTTGCAGGGATTTGTTGCATGCTGTTTTGCCAACAAAATATTAGAGACTGAATATGTATAGGAAGTGGAGCGTGAGGCAATGAGTGGGGTTAAGACAGAGAATTATTTCCCAGCCAAAAGGCCAAGAAGCAATAACTACTTCTATCCCAAGAATGCCCAGACAAGCATGATTGAACCTACAGTGGGTTTTTTCCCCCTTGCCCAGGGAGCAAGACCACCTGTGCCTAGCTGTCCCACTGAAGTTCTACGGAAATCTGGCAAAGACTCCCCCCCCCAACTGTTCTATAGACAACTTGTTTAAAGAGTAGTTATCTCCTCTATAATTATCAAATATCTTGTGACTACTGCTTGTCAGAGTCCCAAAGGCATTTAAATGGTCATTAGACAAAAATAGCATCTCTGGATTATACTAGAAAGGCAGCTGTTGGCATTCACAGTTGGTTAGGGACAGGTTGGGTTATCAGATCTGTAATGTGTGCAATTGTATTCAGGAGATTGTGCGAGTCAGATGGTTTCAAACTGGAAGTACTCCAATAGTCACATTAAGAGACACAAATCATTGTTGTGATGAGCTGATTACAAAATGGTATCAATTGTGATTTTTGTTGTAGTGCTGTTGTACCCAACCATGTTCAAGGATCACGATGCAAAATGTACCATCAGCGAACCCCTCTCAAGTCTTCATAAACATTTTCAAGAAGGAGATCTTATCATTGGGGGAATTAGTTCTATTATCTCTGCTACATCAGATGAAATTGATTTCAAAAAACTATCCAATGATATGGTATATGATATGCCATTGTAAGGATCTTTCACCCTCCCTTACCTATTATCTGAGCATATCATGTTAATAACTGACAAACTTTTCAAATTGCATTAAATTCTAGGAATGTAAAGATTGTTAACTTTTCTCTTAATTTGCAAAAAGCCCAAACCTATTTCCATTCCATGATTCTCTGTAAGAGGGAGGTATTCTATGATCTACTCTGATCCCTAATTGAAACTACTAACTCAATAGTCTTTAGCTATGGGAAAAGGTTGCTTAGCAGAAGAGATGCTCATGGAATCATAGACAGCTGGGTAAAGACGCTGAATCTAATTTGTACCCATTCATACACTCCAAGATTGCTCATGGGATTGAATAGAAATCATTGGTATTTCCAGTTAGCACTTCAAGGGTGGTGGTTGTGACCAATGTTCCCTCTAAGCTGTGGAGTCTTGTGAGCAAAAATTCTGCTTTGTGAGCGGCTGGCCTTAAAGCTGTGAGCGAGCGAGTTGGCTTCTGCATAAATTAGTTTGCTCTGGAGCCGTCTTTCCTGAGCTGAGATAAAAATGTGTGAGCCAGAGGCTAAAAAACTGTGAGCTAGCTCACACTAACTCAGCTTAGAGGGAACACTGGTTGTGACACCACATATTTTAAACATTTCCCTCCCAGTTTCTGTGGACATTAGAGCCTAATTACATCACAGCACTGACTCTCTAGTGAGATATTAAAAGATCAGACATTCACCTAAAATACACAGAAATATATGGAATTAGAGAGCAATGGAAATGGAAATGAGCTGGAATCTGACTGTAACTCAAAAGAAATCCAAGTACTGACACCATAACAAATATTTCAAGTCACATATAAGTAACTAAGTTTGAGGCACAATGATATTACAAGAATGTTGCTGAATTACTGTATGTTTCTTGTCACAGTGTACGAACTAGTCATTACCAACATGTCTTGGCTATGGCATTTGCTGTGAAGGAAATCAATGAAAACCTCCAGCTCTTACCCAATGTCACTTTGGGCTTTCACATCCATAACAATTACATGAATGAACGAGAGACCTATCGTGCCACAATACAACTTCTCTCTACAAAGGACAGATTTATTCCCAACTACAAGTGCAACTCCCAGAACAATCTGATGGCAGTCGTTGGAGGAGCTGAAGCTAAAACATCTCTTTACATAGCAACTGTGTTATCCATCTACAAAATTCCACAGGTAGGCTTGGTATTCAGAATATGAAAGGTCTCTAACAAAAGTGTTGTGAATGTTATAAAACAGTGTATATCATCTCTTCTTGGAAGAGCCAATCAAATTACCCATACCTTCATGATGTACCATTTTAAAAAATATTTATCCCCATGAGAATATTCATTAATTGTCTTTCTTGCTTTTGCAACCGGAGTCATAAACAGCAAACCTTCATCCCACAATAAACCTCATTCCACAGAAAAACATGGAAGAATTTAAATACTGCTCATGCAAAAGTTTTCATGTAATTTCACAATAACTGCTAAAAATGTTGTCACACGTAGGGACATTTGTTTGTCTTCATCCCGAAGTAACCAGGTTGATTTTGCTTCTGGAGAGAGAAAGTTCTGATTAAATAAAGGGGAGATTAGTTCATATCTTAGAGCTGAAGATATGGGACAATTTAGCAAAATATGATCCACAGAGTCAATTTTACTGCTGCGACAATTACAGAGTCAATATGAGTATGAAATCCCATTAAATCTTCCTGACATCAAACCTTAAGGTAGGGCATTCAGGTTTAGATCTGGGTTTGATTTTAGATTCCCAATTTTCAAATTGAATGCTCTTCCCTAGGCCTTTGCTTCATAAGACATCTCTCCAACTGCGGCTCTCAATGCTATTCCAGACACACACTGAGGTATTCCCAGAATATTGTGTAGGAAACTTAATAGGGGTCTATTGATATTGTCTGTTACTGCACTAATCCAGACCTTGGTAGCATCTGTTCAGCTTACTTGGTGTTGGATACTTTGACTGCCACAAGATTGCCACCAATGATAATATAGCAATGCCAAAATTAAAAACATTATTTCATGTGTCTGTACATACTTTATATTTTTAGTTATTTTTGAGTACTTGTATGATCACTTTCCATAAAACGTTTGGACAAGGCATTTCATAACAATGAGGAAATATAGTAAGTGGATATTAATGACAATGAAAGCATGGGGAAGGGAGTTCAAGAATCTATAACAGACAGTGATAGCCAACCAGATGGACATTAGAGAGTGCACTGGAGGAATACATTCATGAGGAACAGGCATCCAAATAGTTTTGGGGGTTATAGGATTAAAACCAGACTGTAAATAAACTGAGAGATCTTATAGTTGATACAAGGCAGCTGAATCTGTTCTTTTGTCTGATGAAGGGCACTTTTACACTTGAAAGAGTATACCCTGAACATTTTCTCAATCTCGGTGCTACTGGGCTCAGTCTAGCTCTTGTTCACTGTAGTGAGACCCTGTTAACATTCTGAACAAATGCAGCCCCTAGTATAGCATTATGCAATAGTCCAGTATGGATGTTGCTAAGCCTATCTTCTTTTAACTATTTTTAATTGAATAATTTAACTATTACAAACTGACAATAGAATGGAGTGCAATCAGTCAAGTGCAGCAAAAGATAAATATAGATTAGCAATAAAACCTATATAACATGAAAAGGAATTATTACAATTCATTCAATGTGAGCTGAGAAAAGACATTTGATTCTTGTCCAGTACATAACAATGATTTGAGATGCCTGACCAACATTTGTGTAACAAGGGGTACCATTTCTTTAGAAGACTGGGCTGATTTGAGGAACCTCTAGACTTATCTAAATTATTTGTAATCTTGCCCAGAAAAAATAGGTCCCACAGTTTTATGAACCATTCTTGCAGCAATGGAATTGATGTAGATTTCCAGTGTGAAGCAATAAGACATTTTGCAGCAAATAACATTAACATAATAAGTTCTCGTTTTACCTTGGGAACATTGCAATGATCCCACAAATTGAGTAGGAACAGTTCAGGGGTCCAGAAAATCCAATAACTGGTGATCTTATGAATTTCGTCTTGAATTTGGATCCAAAATTTACCAATCAAGTTACAAGACCACCAGCCATGGAAATAAGTCCCTCGCTCACCATATTGTTTCCAGCAGACTGGAGGCATAGTAGGGTTTAAGTGAGTGAGTTGTGCAGGAGTCAGGTACCAGAGAGAAACAGGCTTAAAGTTTTGCAATTGAATGTTCAAAGCTCTCGAGGTGGTGGGTGGTGAGTTCCAAATTTGGTTCCATTGATCTGTAGTAAGCTCTTTATTTAAATCTGCATGCCAGGAGGATTGATATTTTATTATAGCAGAATCTGATAAAATTAGAATTTTATAATGTTTTGAGATCAGCCCTCTATTCACGTTCATTGTGCTAACCAGCAATTTTTCAAAATCTGTTCAAGACTTACAGAGAGGGGATTTTTTAGAATTTAATGCAGAGATGAGATTGTTAAATTGCATATACTCAAACCAAGGTAAGGATACCTTGTGTTCTTTTTCCAATTTTGATTTGTCGTAAAGCGAACCTTTATTGGTGATATCCCAAAACCATATTAGCTAGGACTGACCAATGAAGGTTTCAATAAAGAGCCTGATGGAGCTAAAGTATTGTGAGTTTTGAACTATCTTTTCAATGTGGCTTCAATGAAGGGGTTGTTGTAATGTGAGTATGAATGTTGGCTTTGACTGACCAATAAGATGTCAGAAAAAGATCAGGGAGAAAGTAATGGTTTTCCATATGTTTCCAATGTTGCTAAGATTAGCTGACTTTCATCAGGTGTACCTTGACCAGGAATTGGTACATGTGGCAACATGCTGGTAAAGAGCACTCATTTCTACATGTTTATACATGCAACAGTTATTATTATGTGATAGAATTTTGTAAAATTCAATATCAGTGACTGATTTACAAATGGATGATGATAAATCCAGGTATGGTGGTATATTCTATATCTGAAGGAGCAAACTGGCACATCACATTTTGTATGGTTATGTTATTGAATGATTCTCCATGCAAAATAATGTCCTGAACTGAGTAGAAGAATAGGGTGAAATATCCAAAAATCTTTAAAGAAAGAATCATTGGTGTGAAACACACACCTGTGGCTTAAAACAGAAGTAGGGTCTTCCTGTTCTAAAAAGATCACTTGTATTCATCTAGATGTGTAGCTGTGATTTTTTTCTAAGATGCCATTATGCTCCATTTTTGGTTTGCAGGAAAAGACAAATAACTTTTTTTTGTAGCATATGCTTTCATGAGTAATTGATCTCAAGTCATCAGATTTATCTATCTAGTTCTTCTTCATGTCTTTCACTTTCCCAGCAAATAAAGCCATTTTCATTTCTTATCCATAAATAATCAAAAAAGGGAAGCATAGATTAATTTTTTTTACAAACAACCAGATTGGAAAGCTTGCACTTTTTTTAAGATCATGGATTCGCTCACACAGATTAGCATATGTATTTCTTTTTATTTTCCATTGTTAATATATTGTACAACATCAATATTCAAGCTTGCATTAAAACTAAACTAGGAAAGAGTAAGTCACTTTGTAAACATTTAATTCTCACTCTTTATATTTCCTTCCCAATACTGACTTCCTTTAGCTTGCCTATGGTTCTACGTCATTAATGAATGAAAGATTCTCAGGACTTTCCATGTATCGGATGGTCACAAATGAAGCCCAACAATACAGGGGGATCCTGCAGTTAACTCTGCATTTCAGGTGGACGTGGATTGGGCTCATTGTTGTGGATGATGAACGTGGAGAAAGATTTCTGCAAGCCCTGCTTCCTCTGTTTTCTCACAATGGCATCTGCTTGGCATTCGTACAAAAAATCCTCCAGGTCTCCATGATAAGTTATTATTTTGGCATGATGAAAGAGGGATGGAAATCTTATGACATTGTAATGGAAAGCAAAGCTGATACCGTTATTCTTTTTGGAGACACTGGTTCCATCCCATATGTGAGATGGGCCATAAAATTTTCAGAGCAAGGATTCACAACAGTCAAGCCTAAAGGGAAAGTTTACATTATGAGCATGCAGATGGATTTTGTATCTTATTATTTTCAAAGAAATTGGGACAATGTGCTCTTTCATGGTGCAATATCCTTCACAGTTCACACAAATGAACCACCAGGTTTCCATCAGTTTCTTCAGAGCAGAAAGCCTCTTAGGACTGAAGGAGATGGCTTTGTCAGAGAATTCTGGGAACAGGCATTCCTCTGTCACTTCTCTGATTCACTGGTGCAGAAGGGATTTGATAAAAATTGCACTGGGGAGGAGAAAATGGAGAGCCTTCCGGGTGATGTTTTTGAAATGAGTATGACTGGTACTAGCTACAGTATCTACAATGCTGTCTATGCTGTAGCCCATGCTTTACATGACCTGTATTCATCTCCTCATGGACACAGAAGAAAGTTGAAAAGTAAGAAATACAACCTCTTCAGTCAACCCTCATGGCAGGTAACTATCGTGAGTAGAAAGAAATGGTTTACTCTGGCAACAGAAGCAGATACATTCTGTACTGCATAGTACCTCTCCAGAAAGGATTTCTGAATTCATCTTCATCACTTTGCTTCCTCTCCCATTCACCTTAGAATGTCACAATTCTCTGTGCTTCATCCTTGTTCACACTTTACTCCACCATTTACGATGACAATAAAATAACAACATATAATGTCAATACGTTGTGCAGTTGGTATGAGTTGTTCACTTTTGCATATGATAGTCAGATATTGAAGTTACTAAACATGAATTTAGTTCTTGTTTATTTATTATTTCTGTTGGTAGTTCTGCAGCCATCCTAAATTTCTGCTGTAAAAGGCTCCTCTTCTTCTTTGTCCCAGGGTAACAGAATCATATAATCATAGAATTATAAGCTGGAAAGAACTTATAGACCATCCAGCCCAACCCCCTGCACAATGCATGTTAGCCTAAAACATCCCTGACAAATAGCCATCCAGTCTCCACTCCTATCCTCCTATTGTTGTAGGATACTTTGAAAAGCACATTAAAGTGCAGTGAAAATAAAGCAGCCACAGACACCTGTGTCCTTAGCTTCTAATAAAAAGTACACCAAAAGAATTAAGGGAGGGTTATTTGAAAAAAAAACCCCAATAACAGTCTAACTTGGTTTTCTAATTCTAGTTCCGTCTTGTTTCCTTTTGTGACTAGTATCTTCTCTGTGTGAGAACAAAGGAGGTTTCCCAAAACTCCACCCCATGTGTGCAAGCAGAACAGCATGCATCATCTACAAATATTTTGATTAGCCAATAGTCAAGGTCACTTCATTAAGACTAATGCCTTCTGATTCTTGGCAGGAAGATTCTATTTGAAATTTAATTGGTTCTAAGATAACTAGTGAACATCAACATACAGTAACTTTAGCTTAAGCTTTTCATGACTGAAGTAATGACACTTGCAAAAACTGAACATCTCCTATCTTCCATCGTATCCTCCATCACCAATGGGGACAGCTCCCTGCCCATCACAACTCCTGCAGTTCCAAGTTTAAGAAATGATCTAGTATCTTAGTTTCCCACTGTGGGGTTTCTCCCATTGGTTCACTACCACATGGTCATTGCTGCCATCGAGATGGTGTTCTAGTTTGAGATAGCTTCTAATAAAGAGGAAAGCTGGCTAAGAGAGTTAGTGTCGTAAGAGAGCTTCTTCCTCGTTGTCCAGGGGTTTCATAATTTTTGCACTGTCTACCCCTTGGGGTCATTTTTCTTTTCCTTTCCCAAGAGGAAGATCCACTCTTTCTCATTTAGTCTCCCAAACTCTGTAGATAAGGTGTGAATTACCTGTCCTTTGTTCTTCATAGGCTAGTATTATCTGCATATCCATGGGTGCAGATAGCTCTAGTGCTAGGAAATCATACCCATCCAGTTATCCTGTTTTTTACCATTTCACTCATAAAAGATGCTTTGTAGCCCCTGAGCTTGTGCAGACTGATGATTGTAAACTTTTATTTAAATTATGAGATGTAAGGCATTTCTCTAAAATTGTTATTTTGTATTACTCTCTCATGGTATTGACTATGGGGGTAACATACCATACTGCCTCTCAGCTAATTGTTGAGCTCCCCCCTAGATCAAAAATCCTTGCTCTTGAGAAAAAACCCCCGAAGCTGAGTTTAGAATTTCTGCAAATTTCCTCCAAGCTACAGCTGGGGAAAGTATTTCCTCTTGAAAGCAAGGCATACAAAAAAGAACAGAATAAAATCTGGATGTTTCTAATGACTATAAAATTATCTATCCGAAAATAAAATGGCAAATCAAAAAAGTACAGCACAGGTACAAGGCATTTAATAATCTTTTAAAAAGTTTTATTATGAAGCAATCACTAACATGTGCACAGTGCTTTCCAATGAGCAGCCAATCTTCATTGGTGTTTCCCTTTTCTAGCTTCACCACTTTCTGAAACAGGTCTCATTTAATAACAGTGCTGGGGAGGAAATTTTATTCGATACCAGTGGAGAAGTCGCAACAGGGTATGATATCATGAACTTGCTTGCTTTCCCAAATCAATCCATTTTTAAAGTGAAAATTGGAGAGGTTCATCCAGAAGCTCCTGCAGACCAAATGCTTACCATTAATGAAGAGAGGATCACATGGAACAGCTGGTTTAACAAGGTAAGATTGGTGTACACAATCTGAGAAAACTTCCACTTAAAAAGTATTTTATACTAACATGTTAGGTAAAGGTAAAGGTTCCCTTGCTCGAAAGCCAGTCGAATCCGACTCTAGGGTTGCGGTGCTCATCTCCGTTTCAAAGCCGAAGAGCCAGCGCTGTCCGAAGACGTTTCCGTGGTCATGTGGCCGGCATGACTAAACACCAAGGCGCACGGAACGCTGTTACCTTCCCACCGAAGTGGTACCTATTTATCTACTTGCAATTTCTTGCTTTCGAACTGCTAGGTTGGCAGGAGCTGGAACTAGAGACAGGAGCTCACCCTGTCTTGCGGCACCCGGGTCTTGAACCGCTGAGCTACCGACCTGCCGCAGCCTGCAGTTCAGCGTCTTAACCACTTGAGCCACCGCAGCTCGTACTAACATGTTACTTGGTAAAAAATTGCTTTTTTTTTTTAAAAAAAAGAACAATGTTGAGTGCAAATACTCATTTGATACCACGTAACAGAAGGAATAATGGCTGTGGATTCATTAAGAGAGGGCAAGAAAGGGTTTATTGTTAATGAAGAGAGAATCACATGGAACAGCTGGTTTAACAAGATGATCTGGGAAAACTTCCTCTAAAAAGTATGCTATCCTAACATGTTTAATTTTTAATTTAATTTAATTTTAATTTTATTTATTACGGTCAGAGACCCATTAAACAGCATACAACTGCACTATCCTAACATGTACTTTGGTACTGCATTGCTTTTTTTAAAGAGTACAGTGTTGAGTGCAAACATTCATTTGATGTCACATAACAGAAAGAATAACAGCTGTGGGCTAATTAAGAGAGGAAAACAAAGGGTTCTGTAAATCTCTTCCTTTCCACTTCTCTCCAAATATCTTCTTTCCTTGTTAAGCAAATGTGGGATGTTCTGGGATCTGTGGCAGGGGACTGTAGGAAGAATTGGGTGTGATAAAGAAAAGAGCTAGTTTCAGCCAATCGGAAGGATTTATTTGTTTGTTTATTTTATGTATTTTAATGAGGGTACTTGTCATATTAGGTGAACAAGTTGTGAATGGAACAGTAGAGTGATCGAGATCTCTCTCTGGCATAACACTTTCCCATGTGCACTTTTTTAAAAAAGGACAGTCAACCATGTCAGCTCCTTAAATAGCATTAATCAATTATCAATTTCAAGGTGGGGTCTAAAGCAGTGTTCCCAAGATGGGACCAGATCGAAGATGCAGGATGTAATCCTTCCTCATTTCCATAATGTGTAACAGCCCAGCTAGCTCAGTTTTTTAGCCTCCGACTCAAACATTTTTGCCTCAGCTCAGGAAAAATGGCTCCAGAGCAAACTAATTTATGCAGCAGCCAAATCGTTCGCTCACAACTTTAATGCCAGTAGAATTTTTGCTCACAAGACTCCACAGCTTAGAGGGAGCATTGGTCTAGAGTTCTCCTGAGATTACAACCAGTCTCCAGATTACTGGGATCGGTTTCCCTGGAGAAAATGGAAGATTTGGAGGGCAGATCTATAGCATCATGCACCCTAAGCTCTCTCCCTCACTTCATCCTCCCAAGGCACTACCCTCAATTCTTCAGGAATTTTGAAACCCAGAGCTGGCAACCCTGCCCACCCAAGCTGGGACCAGATCGAAGATGCAGGATGTATTCCTTCCTCATGTCCATAATGTGTAACAGCCCAGCACAAGTAATTTAATATAAGGAATCTGGTGGTGAGGGAAGCAAACACACACACAAACTACAGATGAGAAGTGAATGCCCTAGGAAGATGATCAATAACGATTTGGAGGAACAAACATAGTGTTATTTTAAATCCAATACTTAGAGTCAGTTTCTCTGCCTCATTTATACATTAGACACAGCCCCTTTCTGTCTGCAGTGAAAGTTGCCATCCAGGTTCCAGGAAGAAAATGAAGGAGGGAGAACCATTCTGCTGCTATGACTGCACACCATGTCCAGAAGGGAAGATTTCTAATCAGAAGGGTAAGAGATCTGCAGCACATTCCTGAGCAAAGTGGCACCCTTCCAAGCATAGGAGGGATCTCATTGGTGTGGTGGTTTGAGTTATGGCATACGATTTGGAAGACCCAGGTTCAAATTCCCACTCTCCCATGGCAGCTTGTTGGGGAACCAGGGGCCAGTCACACATTCCAAAACAGTACTACTTTCCAGGATTTTCATGGGAATAAAATTGAAGTGAAGAGAATGATGTTAGTTGCTTTGGGTACCCATTGCAGGCAAAGCCAGGTTATAATTGAAATATATAAATCAATTAAAAACAATACTTTTATTTCCTATGCTTTGAGACATTGTGGCTGATTTCCCACAAGTGCTGCTCCATGCTCGCTCTTCCCTTTTGCCCCGATGGTATGTGTCAATTTCACACAAACTGCTGTGCAGCCGCATTTTGCCCCAGAGCTTCATGCAATTCTCCCCGCGTCTACTCAATCCTTAAAAAAAACAGGATTGAATAAATGTGGGGAAAATCATGCAAAGCTGCAGAGCAAAATGCAGCTCACAGCAACTTGTGTGAAATTGACACATACCATGGGACAAAAGGGAAGAGCTTGTGGGAAATCAGCCTATGACATAGCTAAGGGGGATAAATCCTAATTGCCAATATAAACTGATGAAGTACAGACCACTGGTGATTGAGTACGAAAAGAATCTTTGATTTGTAGTGTTTATGGCTTTAACTGAACCTTTACCTGATTATTCCTCTGTTCTGTTGGTTACATTAATGTCCCCACATATCAATGGTAACTTCAAAGAGACTGAAGAGAGAAAAAGGTGTCTTTTACCATCTAAAATGACAAAAGCACTCATGCAAGCATCTTAAAAGATGGGGAAATATGCATGTTTCCTGTTACTTGGTATAAGTCATCATAACAATATTGGTATTACTGGCTGAAATGTGTGTACCCCACTGATCTCCTGTATGGCGATAGGAGATCCTTACAACATCATTCTCCCCTCCTCTGTTTTATGCTCACAACAAACCTGTGTCTTGGTTAGACTGGGTGAGGTAGCTTAAGGTCAGCTAGTGAGCTTTCATGGGAGAATGGGTCTCGCAAACCCTACTCCAGCGCTTTATGTGCTAAATGACACTGCATCTCTGGAAGAAGCCACAAGCAGATGTCAATGAATACAGACCACTGGTGATTGAGTACGAAAACAATCTTTGATTTGTCGTGTTTATGGCTTTAACTGAACCTTCACCTGATTCTTCCTCTGTTCTGTTGGTTACATCAATGTCCCCACATATCAGTGGTAACTTCAAAGAGACTGAAGAGAGAAAAAGGTGTTGTGATGACCCCTTTACTGGGGAGGTCTGGTTTCCCTTTAAAAGTGTTCTTTATGTTTTTCTCTACTGGGTAATCTGGCTGCCACCAGGAAATTTATAAGGCTTTCCAAACCTCTACAATATAATATTTCTGTCACTGGGTAGGTAAGTCGAGGGTTTAGGCATTCACGAGGGTCTATGTGTTTCCTGGGAAAAATTTCTTTAGAACTGTCAGACTTGAATAAAAGTAGATTTATTGATATTTCAACACACTTTTCTCTCCCACTGTCAGGGATCTGGGCATGCAACGTTGTAACACTTTTTCCTTCTGGCCATATATGGTTACTGTTTCTTTATACTTCAACTTTTCATAACACACACAAGAAGGTCTCTCCTTCAGACCTTAAAACGAACAAACTCCTTAACTCTTTTACTACACAGAATCAAATTATCCCACACAGGGATGAGTCTCCTTCTCTCAGAGACAGAACTTAACTAACTGCTGTTTCTCTCACAGAACTCAGAACTTGACTACTGTCTTATTCAACTGTCACACTCCAGCTGTCCAAACCTCCAACTGTCACTCCTGATAGACATAAATATCATCCACACAGCATCACTTCCAAAACCCCTCCCCCTCTCTGTCACTCACCAATCACACCACTTGCTTGTTTCTACTACTCTAGACTATCATACAGCCATGCATCCAAACTTTTAAAGTCACACACACACAGTTAAACATGAAATCGTTACAATTACGAACTGACCCAGCCAGCAAAAATGTCCATTTGTTGCCTATGTGTACGCATGTTTCCTGTTACTTGGTATAAGTCATCATAACAATATTGGTATTACTGGCTGAAATGTGTGTACCCCACTGATCTCCTGTATGGCGATAGGGGAGCCTTACAACATCATTCTCCCCTCCTCTATTTTATGCTCACAACAAACTTGTGTCTTGGTTAGACTGGGTGATGTAGCTTAAGGTCAGCTAGTGAGCTTCCATGGCAGAATGGGTCTTGCAAACCCTACTCCAGTGCTTTATGTGCTAAATGACACTGCATCTATGGAAGAAGCCACAAGCAGATGTCAATGAAACATCATGAGTGGAACTTTCTCCCCTCATAAACTGGGTCCTAAGGGAACGTTGACGCAATCAGAAGTATCAATAGTTTTCAGTGAGCTAGGTCCCAACCCACTTATTGTAGGTTTGGTGCTGTGGGGGAACTGGTGGACAAGTACACCTCTGCTCTACTGCATGACCTTTGGCCAGTTGTTCTTTGACAGTTTACCATCTCTCTATAAGACCTGGCATTTGACAGTCTAAGAGACTGGCACTTTTAAAAGATAGAAAAGCCCACAAATGAATACTATCTCTAAAGAAGTAGAGAAGTATTTCAATAAGGGAGTAAAACAAAGAAATGTTCTCCTTGCATATGTCTTGCTTGTTCAACCTAGCCCTCAGAGGTCATACATATAAGAATTGGTTGTGGAGAGAAATACAGATGCTGTGATCTCCACCAATGGATCCTCTTGAAGTATGAGATATGGGAATAGATACACAGGATATGAGTTGCACTGAAGCTGTCCCTTCTTTCTCTGTTTTACAGACTTGGATGAGTGTACCGAATGCAGACAGTATCCAAACAAGGGACAAAATCAATGCATCCCCAAAAGTGTCACCTTTTTGTCTTACGAAGAGCCACTGGGGATCACTTTAGTGAGTTTTGCCCTTAACTTTTCTTTCATCACACTTTTGGTGCTAGGAATCTTTATAAAGCACCACAGCACCCCCATTGTCAAAGCCAACAACCGAAACCTCACCTATTCTCTCCTGATCTGCCTCCTCCTTTGCTTCCTTTGTGCTCTGCTATTCATTGGTCAACCGCAACTGATGTCGTGTCTCCTCCAACAAACCATGTTTGGCATGGTCTTCTCAGTTGCCATTTCTTGCATGCTGGCAAAAACAGCCACGGTGGTTCTGGCTTTCCTAAGCATCCAACCAGGAAGCAGCCTGAGGAAGTGGGTGGGGAAAAGAGTGGGCAACTCCATTGTGATTTCCTGCTCCCTTTTCCAAGCAGCCCTTTGTTTAGCATGGCTGGCAACTTCTCCCCCATTTCCAGATGTTGACGTGCACTCAGAGACTGAAGCCGTTGTACTGGAATGCAATGTGGGGTCTGTCCCCATGTTTTACTGTGTCCTGGGCTACATGGGCTTCCTGGCCACTGTTAGCTTTGTGGTGGCTTTCTTGGCCAGAAAGTTACCTGACAGTTTTAATGAAGCCAAATTTATCACTTTCAGTCTACTGGTCTTTTGCAGCGTTTGGATGTCTTTTGTTCCCACCTATCTGAGCACCAAGGGAAAATCCATGGTGGCTGTGGAGATCTTCTCAATCTTAGCTGCCAGTGCTGGTCTTCTGGGTTGCATCTTTATCCCCAAATGTTACATTATTATGCTGCATCCTGAGTTGAACAACAGGGAACAGCTGATAAGAAGAAAAGTGGACTAATGTAAAGAACTATGGGTAGACTTACAATCTGCAAAGTAGAATTCATTTGTCCATCTATCACTCAATGACCTCCCTTGTTACAAAAGGATTTTCAATATGCAGATTTTATATAATCTCCAACATCTCTTGTAGTCATCAATGGGGACCATACTTGACCTTTTCCCCATCTAACAACTATGGAAATCACGTACACATGTAACCAGGGCTTTTTTTTCCTGGGGGAACATGCCAGACTGGAGTTCTCGAACCTTTTCAACAATTTTTTTTAAAAAAATGTTTAAAAGTTGATGAGTTTTCAGTATATAGATTGAAATTGTCATTTCCCTCTTGAGAGTTCTGTCACGTCTTTTGCAAAAAAGGTAGGTAGGAAGGAAGGAAGGGAAGGGAAGGGGAGGGAGGGAGG